ATATTAAATTATGTGTTCAAATATATATATAATTTATTGGAACTAAGCTGTAAAAATAAACATGAAGGTCATTTAGATTATAAAACATGAGGTAACAGTCTCCTTTTTAATTTATTTGGTGCATTTTAAATGTGTTTATTTATTTAAATGTTCATTTATCTATTTGTGCTTTTATTTCTAATTATGTCAGTGTTGGTCCTCCGTACTGCAGAACATGAAGAGGTGGTTCAGGGACTGGATCAGGTGTGTTGGAGCAGGAAACACACTCTAGGACCATGATGGCCCACCCCTGATTTAAACCATCATGTCTACTTTAAATTTATTCATTTTTGATCAACTATACAATGTTTACGTTCCAGAGATGGATATTTAACATGTATGATAAGGTGAAGGATAGTCCTCTGTAGTATAGAATATMTAATCTGTGTGATGGGTGTGTGAGGATGACCTGGGGCTAGAAACAGTTCTTGTGTCTGACAGAGTGGACAGGGTTCTGCAGCGTCTGACACAGGTTCTGACCCGGGTGTGAGCAAGAAGTTTCCTCTTGAACTTTAGATCTTCTTGCATCATAAAKGTGACTCAGATAATCCCCACATGGAGCTGGGAGATGCTGGGTGTAATCTGTTTTCATTCCTGGCTGTGATAAAAAGGACAAACACGGCTGTTGCTTCAGTCCTGCTGATTCAAGATGGCTGCCAGCTGAGTGGTAGCTGAGCCTCATCCCCAGCGTATGGTTTAACTGGTTTTATGTTTGTTTTTCCAGCTGGGCTCCTCTGATCCCTCCAGCGCCCCCCCTGCTGGGCAGAATGGATCCTGGAGCCAGCCGGGCCCCCCTGCAGGTCCTGGGGGAGCACGAGGCGCTGCAGCAGTTCTTCAGCGGTGAGATGTTTCCTGTCCAATCTGTGGTCAACCTGAAGAACCTGGTTCACAATCTGACAAAGATTCACTCTTAAAAGTTTCAGCACCAGTGGAGTTCTGTTCTCAGGGTTCTGTGGGTCTRAAGGGTTCAAAAGCAGTACTTCATTTAATTTGTGTACTTTTTAAGGTGTTTTATGGTATTTTAGGCCCGAATGTTAATAAAAAGACCAGAGAGTTTATTTTATTAAAGAGTTCCCCTTTGATGTCACTTCCTGTTTCACTTTGGCTGAGCCAAATTTAAAAG